CTCATCCCCCTCCTTATGCCACACACCCAGGCTCCACAAAGATGTACAGCGAATCACGTAATAACTTTTGGTGGAGGAATATGCAAGGAGAAATAGCTTTGTTCGTTTCAAAATGTATACTTTGTCAAGGGGTGAAAGCAGAGCATCAGAGACCATCAGGGCTATTAAATCCAACGGACATACCTGAATGGAAGTGGTAAAAGATCTCAATGGATTTTGTAGTAGGTATTCCTAGGTCGGCAAAAGGTCATGATGCCATTTAGGTTATAGTAGACCAACTTACAAAATCTTCCTAATTTCTACCGGTCCGTATGACTTTCAGTCTGGGACAGTTTGCACAATTATATGTCAGAGAAATCGTTCGACTTCATAGGGTACCAACATCTATTGTGTCGGATAGAGACCTGAGATTCACTTCAAAATTTTGGAGGATCTTCAAATAGCTATGGGAACTAAGTTATCTTTCAGTACAACATATTACCCTCTAGACAGTCAGAACGAACTATCCAATTATTAGAAGATATGTTGAGGGCATGTATACTAGATTTGGGTGGTAAATGGGAGAACCATTTGCTGTTGGTGGAGTTTGCATACAATAATAGTTTTCAAGCTACTATCACATTGCACCATATGAGGCATTGTATGGCCGAAGTTGTCGTTCACCAATATGTTGGGATGAGATCGGGGAGAGGAGAATCCAGGGTCCAAAACTTATTAAGAAGACTGTAGAGATGATAGATAAGATTAGAATGAGGATTAAGATAGCTCAAGATCGCCAAAAGAGCTATGCAAATAAGAGAAGAAAAGAACTGGAATTTGAGGTGAGAGAAAAAGTATTTCTCAAAGTTGCCCCAACAAAAGGGATACTCCAATTTGGAAAGAAAGGGAAGCTAAAACCAAGATTTATCGGCCCATTTGAGGTTCTCGAGAAGGTTGGAAATGTAGCAAATCATTTGGCAATGCCACTTGAACTATCGGCAATGCATGATGTATTTCATATTTTTATGTTGAGAAAGTACATCTACAATCCAAGTCATGTGGTCAATGATCAGTCATTGGACGTACAGAGTGATATGACTTAGGAAGAAGTACCTATAATGGTTATAGAGAGGAATGTACACACTTTGAGAAATCGAAAAGTATCATTAGTCAAAGTCCAATGGAGTAAACATGAGAAGGATGATGCTACATGGGAGAGAGAAGCAGATGTTTTGGCCAAGCATTCAGACCTCTTTAATCGAGTAAATTAAATTTCAAGGACGAAATTATTTTAAAGGGTAATGATTATAGCGACTGAAATTAAATTTTCATTTATTTCACCCTGTCATGTTTTATAATTCGAGATACCGATGGACTAAGTTAGAAATTAAAAAAAAAAAAAAAAGCTTTCGGTCAAATAATCAAGTATTCATCTAGCAAAAATTTTCATATCAATATTGGGCTTGTTTCGAAACTTATATTAAATGGCAAATTATGCACTCAAGAAAAAGTTATTTCGGATTGGTTAGGACCATGATATTTATGTTCAAAGAATTCATAGGCTTAATTAAGTTAATTAGGGGTTTAATCAATTAATTTTGGCAGCCATGTGACGTGTGAAATGGAATGGGGTGTTTCAATATTTTGGTTTAGTATGAAAGTCATCTGGAAGTTTTTTATTTTTTTATTTTTTTAATTATGCAATTTAAATTAAACTTGGATTTGGATTTACGTCAAATTTAGTTAAAGATTTGAATTAGCTAAGCCTGTCCTAATCCTATAATGAGAAACATATT